GGCATATAGTCCTTATGATCGCATGATCTCGAAGACTGTCTTTAGGTGCTGTAAGTGCTCATCTCAGAATCTGTTGTATACCAGAATATCTTTGAAATACACCACTAACCGAAACACTTGATTCATTGTTCTTACGAACGTGCTGGGCACTTTAGACAATCCGAAAGGCATGATTATCCTCTCGTACAATCTATCGTGGGTCTTGAAAGCAGCCTTCAACTCGTCCCATGGCCTCATTTAGGTTCTGTGGTGCCCGCTGCATAAGTAGATATTAGAAAAAATGGCTCCGTGCAACTAATCCAAGATATCGTATAGGCAAGGTATGAGAAACTTGTATTTGATAGTAATTTTGTTGATGGTCTGACTGCCAATGCTTATCCTCCATGATCCGTGTTTCTTGGGTATCTAGGCGGCACTGACACTTCTAAGAAGCTGCCATATTCGTGTTGGACACATATAGGACAATGACACTTATCCTACATGCCCCTACATCTCTTTGACGCTACAAAATGTTTGAATTTTTTCAAGCGCAAACACGTTCAAGGTACATCTAAACACCGCATCGGATGTGAACTTAACACCATTTCGAGGAAATGGGACATAGGAGCTATGAACATAACTATAGCCTTAATTATGCCTCATGTCGAAACTGCCCCATCTCATGTCATGCTGAAGCTCTCGCTCCCTCTAATTTTCGTCAAATTTGAGTATCGAAGGTGCATCTAACATTCGTTGAAGCAGAACATTAGTAATTCTCTCTTTATAATCATATTATTTTTTTAGTTTTAGTAGATAAGTTGGATGAACTCTTTTGAAACATATTATATCTAATTTTAAAAATTAATTTTCATAAGCATGAAGTTTTATAATATAAATTAAATTTGTGAAATTAAATTTTATTCTCGCATAATTTATGTTGTGGTATTTTAAATGGAAAATTATGGAATAATATATTTTTATATTAATAATTAATTAAATATAAAAATGTGTTGATGGCGCGTCATTTCATATTTTTTTCAATTATGTTGCGTCTTTGCATGGTGTCATGTCCTCTTGTCAGTGTCCGTGTATGCCTGCTTCATAGTTGGGTATCATCAAGACGGTGACAACACACAGACCAGTAATTCCAACCAAATCTCTCTCAACTAGACCTTGTACTCGTCGCTGTAATTTTTGGTAATTTGCACGTCTCAAAATGTAAGTAGATCGATTTGGCAACACTGATCCGAGTACGAGATCTACGACGTGTTGAATGTATCACAGCCGCGACAATCCCTCTTGATGGTTGTTGGTCATCACGTTTTGAAAGTCACATAACAGTGGCTGTATGGGCATCGATACCCCGACCTCCTCAGTTCCCTCTAATAGGATGAAAACCATTGCCACTGGAGCCTCTCATGCTGATTGTATGAAGGTAGCTCTCGGGATAATTGTCTTCTTTATGATGTCCACTCCACTTGCGTCCCTGACAGGCAAAAGGACGATGCACCTTCCATCCTTTTTGAATGACTAAGTGTGCTTGAACCCATCGTTTTGGGTCTTGCTGTCAAATAGCCATGACCTCCCTGACAGAATATGACAAGCATCCATAGGTACCACTTTGTACCACACTTTCTCTATAACAAATTTTAGATAGAAAATTCAACCAAAACTGTTGATCCACACATATCTTGTTTTCCCCTTTCAACTAGGTAAAAGAGTAGGACCGAGGATGCATTTGTGCGACAAATCCCAGTTTTTTTACCATTAGAGTGGATACTATGTTTTCGCAGCTCCCACTATTGGTAATCACACTACAAACCTTTCTTTGCACCGTACAATTGGTGCGAAAAATATTATGCCTTACTCATGAATGATTCTATCCAGCTCAATATGTAGAGCTCCTTTTGACTGGCATCTCTCCCTCATCTTTCTAAAGCCGAAGTTCCTCTGGATCCTCTGCTACTTCCTCGACGTGGCCCTGCTTCGTGAATGAAACAACCCCCGCTCGTGAGACAATTGAAGGTTGTGTCCGTAGCCGTGACACCTAAGTCATCTTTTGTTAGGTATCGTAATGAGCAAATTACTGGTTTTTGGTTTCTTTCCATTCAAATCTATCTCGTCCCTTCTCTGTCTGGTCTTTCAGGTTCCTCTAGGTGTACCTTTGTTGGTACTTGCAGTTGTACTTGTAGCTGGTTGTTTGAAGGATGGCTGTTGTGTGCTTTGTTTCTACTGTCTTTCCACCTTCAAAGTTAAGGTACGAACATTTCTCAATGACCAATATGACTGTAGTTGCACAACGTTGTTGATAGCGGGCTTCAGTTTTGACTATCTCACGCTTCGTCTGAAACCGGTCAAACTATGTCGTGAACTCTTCCACCGATAAGTCTCTTTCTTCAGGTGAAGGAGTCTCAGAAAAATTTTCTGTTGGTAATGAGGTGGTATGTATTTTCTCTGCATTTCCTTCATCCTTTTCTACCTGATAATCTTGTCACCGTCCTCTCTTTTTTCTTTCCCTCTGTAAGTTTTCTCACCATAAGAATGTGATCTTTTTCAATTTGATGGCGCAAACTTCACCCTCATATCTTCGGGCACTTCTTTATATTCGAAGATTCTCTCAACTGATTGCAACCATTCGATGAAATCGTCTCTATCAAACTCTGGTCGATCCACCTTTTATTTGGAAATCTCTATCCTCTGTACGTTGACTCTTCTATCAGCCTCCTTTGATAATGAATTTTAAAGCGTTGTGGTCTGTCGTCCACATCATTGAATTCCTCTCTATGGAACGGATTCAGTTCCTCGTCTCTCCTTCAACTCTCCATGTCAAGGGTAATCTTTCCTGGGTCCCGTCACCAATCTCTGCAAGTCCATGCTGAAGTCGACTGGTCTCTCGCTGTATCTCTTCCCTGGTAGGTTCCGATATGTGTCTCTTTGGCGGCATGGCTAGGGTTTGAGAGTTTGAAGAGGGTAATTGAGGATATGAAAGAAAATAATTGGTGGGGGGTGGTTTGGGTATGGCGGACGCTAGGAAACCCTAGAATAAAATTAGGCTTTGGCTAGCGTTTATATCAATTGATACTGGAGTTAACCAAAACCTCTGTGAATTAAAAACATTAGGGCAAAAATACAAGAGAATTACAATAAAAGGCTCTTAAAATAGAAATAAAATGCACAAACACAAATGACTCCCCAGGGTGATGATGAAAGTGGTGGGCGGCTGTTGGACTGCAGATAGGTTGGAATGGGGTTGCGATAGTAGTAGGAAGATTGGAGGGGGGATTGCGGCAACACAAACGGAGGCTGGAGGGTTTGCGACAAGAAAGTGTGTGTGTGTGTGTGTGTGTGTGTGTGTGTGGCGTATTAGATAACTAGGAGGTGGAGAGACCCTCCCCAAGAGCGGCAACCCCA